AAATTTAGAAATTTTTTTATCTTAGGAACTTTTAAAACTCAACTTCTATGTAATCAACACTTTGGCACTTTGGCTCTTATACTTGTATATCTCTAGAACATTAAAGAGCTCTGTAGGGGAAAAAAATAATTATCTGACCATATTAATTATTGAAATATAGAAATATCTCTACTTTAAAGGACTTTGGTAATGGAGTCAAGGAACATTTAAAGAGATTATCTGTTTCCCTATGCTTCTGTGCCTGGCCTTTTTTCCTAGCTTTACTAATTCTTGCTAGGCCATTTTTTTTTTCCTCTCTCTCTCTGATTTCAGGTTTACTTATATGCTGACAACTCCTGTATAATTAACCTCAGCCAACTGCTTTTTCTTGAACTTCAGGCCTGTGTGCTCAATTAACTAAGGGACCTTCTTAAATAAGGGACTGAATGAATGAATGAATTCATTCATTCATTTACCACCCCCCCCCAATATTTTGAGCATCTACTGTGTGCCAGTGTTCTTAGCATTAAGGATATAGCAATGAACCTAACATACAATAGTCTGCCCTCATGGAGTTTACATTCTAGACAGATGACAAGCAAAACAACTAAATGAAATAAGCATTATAGAGAAAACTAAGACAAAGAAGGGCTTGGAAAGAAATCTTGGAGAAGTTATCTTTTTTAAGACTGGCTTAGAAGTCACTGAGGTGAACTTTTAGCAAAAACCTCAAGAGAGTAAGTGAGCATATAGAAATCTGGTGGAAGAGCATTTCAGATGTCCTACAGGCATCCTCAGTTTTTTTGAGAGAGAGTGTTGGGTGGGGGGCAGGGAAGAGCAGAGGGAGAGAAAGAACCTTAAGCAGGCTCCATGCCCAGTATGGAGCTGGATTTGGAGCTCAGTCTCACAACCTGAGATCACGACTGAGCCAAAATCAAGAGTCGGATGCTTAAGCGACTGAGCCACCCAGATGCCCCTAGAGATTCAAAACTGAACTTAACTGTTTTTCCTTGCAAGCCAGCTTCTCTTCCTGTATTTCCTGGTTTTATTTTGTTTTGCTCTTTGAATTGTGCCATCATCTCTCCCACATTAAAAAAAAAAAAAGTCTGAGACTTACCCCTATGGTCTACTCTTTAACTCTGAACAACAATCTGCAGCCTATGTCCTTTTGATCCTCTCTTCATATTGCCTATTCCTTTTCATTCCTGTTGCAAGGATTATTGTTATTGCCCTTGTTCAAGCCAACATTGCTTTTCCCCAGGGTTTTTCTAATATGCATTCTCTTAACCAGTCTTCTTGCCTCCTCCAATTCATCCTTGATATTGCTGCACAGTTATATTTGTGAAATGCAAACATGCCATTCTCCTGCTTAAACTTTTCAGTAGTTTCTCATTATTGTCAAACCACTCTTAATTGTGGCATGGGGGGGTCTAATGTGATTAGCATACTTACCCTGCCCCTCTCCTTTTCCCAATAATCAATCTGGGGTTCTTCTCACCATTTTAGGTAAGTTTACTGGCTCCAGCTCTATCAAGTTCCTCCTAAAAGTGACCCCTTCCAACACTGTGCTCTCTTACACTTTCTACAAGTTGCTTTTGTAACAGTGATTTGTTTACATGTTTGTCTTTCCTAAACCCAGCTCAGTGCTTGAATCAAAGTAGGCACTAAAAACCAAATGGATAAAATTAAATGTATTACCCCTAATAATGGGTATAATATAAATATAGATGCCCCATTTCTAGGATCTGGACACAGGCAAAAGGTTTCTTTCTCCTCAAACACTCAGAATCACCTTAAAAACACCTATTCAACATGCAACTCAACATATTCTGATACTGAACACAAATATCCAATCTTATTTGCTTGGAAAACTATCTGATTTAAAAGCACAATACTCCTTTCCCCAGTAACAGCTTTTACTTTGGGGAACTCACATATACACCATTCATCTGTGTACTTCTATTTTTAGCAATGAAGGAAATTTCAGTTCCAGAATACATGAATTGCAGAAAATATGAATCACTTCTGTTAAATCTATTTTGAGGTTAAGAGAACTGGTCACAGGGATTAAAAAAGGAAAATAAAGTTAATGACAGAAAATAGGTAGAGATAAAGGAAAATTAGTTTTACAAAGCTACTATAGTGGCACCTGGGTGGGAAAAGATCCAACTTGTATAGAAGAGGGAAATGAAAATGAAATCCAGAATCAACAATCCAGACATAAAGCTAGCAAAATACTTAACATATAAACGGGGGAACTATTAGCAAAATAAACGATATATTTCATACCTAGAGTAAAATGAAATAATCTGTCAGCTTCTCATTTATTATACTGCAGGGGCGGGGGAGGGTAGCAAATCTTTGTTTACAAGTACCTCATGGTAAATGGACATTTTACAACATTGCCTTGAGAGGTGTTTCCATTTGTAACCAAACTGTTCCTTATTAGTTAATAGAAGTTGAATTAGACATTCATATTAATGAATTAGACTACTGAATATGATTTCCAAAGACTTATGGTTCATTTTGCTTTTTAGAGAATAGTAAAAAAAAAAAATTTTTAAATTTTATATGGTATCACTATTTTGATATTTCACCCTATACATATATGAAGATTTATACTCTTGACAATGGTACAGAATGTAACTTTTTTTTTTTAGAGGGGGATGAAGAGAGAGGGACAGAGAAAATCTTAAGCAGGCTCCATGTCCAGTGCAGGGCTCCATCTCACAACCTGAGCTGAGCCACCCGGGAACCCCAGAATATAACTTTTTAAAAATAGGAATTCTTGAAGATATTTTAAGTACTTTATAGACAAAAAAAAAAATACGCTTTTATTTCGAGAAGTTTTATAGATAGTTAAGCTGAATACTGGCCATTGAAATCAACCTTGAGACTCAAATGTTCTTCTCTATGGCTGGCAACCCCAGCCAGAGATTTTTACTGGTACAGGGAGAATAAACTATTGCCTATGTTTATCAGATTTTATTATGCATAGTAATCAACTGGAGATGTTGTTAAAACACAGACTGAAACTCAGAAGGTCCACGATTCTAGTTTCTAACAAGCTCTCAGGGTTTTGGTCCATAGTCTGCTGGTTATCCATGGACCACACTTCTGAATAGCAAGGCCTGAATCAGGGGTTCTAAGTCTTGATACCTAATGGAATCACCTGGAGAGCTATAAACAGTCATTTCTAGGGGTGAAAGGTTATTGAATCTGGGATCCAGTCTTGGTAACGAGTTTAAAAGCTCCCAAGTTCAGGCTAACAAGCAGCTAAATTTGAGAACCTATGACCTAAAATGTATTGGTCAGATTTATGGGTAGGTTTCATTTCTCCTTGTTTCTAATACAGTAGGTAGCAGAGCTAGGATTAACCGGTACTGTATAGATTATGAGAGTAATATATGCCCCAAGTCTCCAAATTCTTACTGACAATATGAGTCATTATCAATCAGGTTCTAATGTTAAGAATCTTAGCAGTTTCATTTCTATCCTTCTACCAAATGATTTAATAACATGCTTTTCATAGTATTTTAAATATCCATGGATTTATAATAAAATGACAATCTAAATTATTTTTAGGAGATAGATATGTAGAAATGTGATTTTAAAGTATATGGAAGTGTTTATTCCTTTTTTTTTTTAAGATTTTATTTATTTATTTGACAGAGAAAGACACAGCAAGAGCGGGAACACAAGCAGGGGGAGCGGGAGAGGGAGAAGCAGGCTTCCCACCAAGCAGGGAGCCCGATGCGGGGCTCGATCCCAGAACCCTAGGATCATGACTCAAGCCGAAGGCAGATGCTTAACAACCGAGCCACCCAGGCGCCCAGGAAGTATCTATTCCTAATTACAGATTAAAATAAACTCAGATTAGTTAGAAGTTTATAAAAAAATAATCCCCAGACCTGGCACTTGTCCCAGGAGAAAAGCCCAGACACAGAAAGGACAGCACAAGTTTACTTAGTATCTGTATTTGAAGTAGGTACTAATGTGTTACAAACTTAATTACCACTCTTTCTTCATAATGCCTTTCCTAATTATTTTGCTAAATTGAGGTTTGTAAAAGGTCAGGATGCAATTCATTTCAAGGATCCATCCCCAACTCTTAAAATGCACATCCAAAATACTTAATGAAAATATTTTAAACTCTCAGGTATTAGCATAAACTCCCTCATTACAGTAGAGTACTGGAGTACAAGTCAACTACCACATACTACTAATGATGTGACTTAATCAAACTTTCTGAACAGGCCTTCTCACTCCCTAAAATAGTATGTTGAGAGAGAGTCCAATAAGAATGTGCAAGCACAGACTAATGCCACATAGAAATATAAGATAGCACTACATATATCTAGGATAAGCCAAATAAATACATAAATAGTGTGGCAGTGCAAAGAAATGGAGCCCAGAGCAGGGACTACTTTTCAGCTTTAGCACTAATTAGCCACATAACAAGCAAATCACATACCTTAATTGCATTTTTAAAAAATAAAGATAACTCAAATAACTTATCTTGAGAATCCCTAGCAGATCAAAACTCTATGATCTAAAAATCACTGATGAAGCGGTCCTCCAAAGCAAGTATGATTAACTGTAAAACAAGGCGAAACAAACAAAAACCCACCAAGAGTTTACTTGTAACATGACTGATTTAACAAGTCTCTTAAGAAAAATACCATTTTAAATTTGTCTTCTAGAAAAGTCTACAAATTATTTGGCCATCACTTAAAATAGCAAATTAAAAAAAAAAGTGTAGAGGAAATGGAGGAAAGGGATCATTAAATACCGTACAAGAACACTATGCAGAATTCAAATAAACAATGTAAACTGAGGATAATAAAATATTAAACAGCTTTTCCTAAGGAAAACTTATTTCAAAGTATGACACTGGGATTTTATGATCTATCCCAAAAAATATATAAGCATTCTTATATACACAAAATGTTTTTAAGTACTGCAAATAACTCATAATTTCTACATAAATTATTCTAATTAATAAAAATGGTAGCACATGGTGATTATTTCCTTTTAATTTATTTAGTTTGAACACATGTCCTGCCAATCACAAAATACCTAGTGTGGCCAAATACATGAGAAATCCCTGTAAGAATCACAAGGTGCCTTGCAGGTTTCTGTCAGGATGCTAAGAAAATTTAACAACGGAGACACAGCTTTTATCAGTTATAAGGTTCAATCATTAATCTTCTTCAGAACTGGAATCATCCTCTTGGTCAGAGAGTTCAGGGACAGGGAAGCGGAGAATGGCAGCTACTCCAGTCAACTGACTGAGCTGTTCCCCTGATACATGAAGACTAGAGAATATCCTAACCGTGCCTGCGTTCTCTTTCACACTGTCCACCAGCTTCACATACCGGCTTCGCGTAGCGACATCCTGGTGCCTGAAAAGCTCATCGCTGATAAGCAATGTGTCAATTGCCATAGCTTCATTGGCCTTCTCCACCTGCTTGAGTCCATAAAACGCTCGGTCAGGTTCATGTTGTAACATTTTATAGAAGTCATCCAAGGCTTTTACTTCCCCAGCAGCTTTAGTGTCTGAAAGGCGGCTAGCTACAGAAGGGTCACAAAGGGCCTCTTTCAGGGAGTACTTGTGTCCAGAGGAGGCATGTACCTAGAATCATAATTATGAAAGTTAGACAAAAGAATCTCTTAGAGTACCCATTAATCAGCCTGCAGTGACCTAAAGCCAAAAGCACAAATAAGGCTTTGTATGTTTGAGGACTTAAGCAAAGTTTACTATGTAAACAGGCTATTTAACAACTCTCTTTTTATTTCATTATCTCACAATCACAGTCCAGTGAATACTTTCTCCTCTTGTACTTTTCCCGGTTCTAAAATTTAAGAGTAGTTTATACAAATCCCTCTGCCCAATCTTAATTATCCTTGGAGAAGACTTTTACCTGAAGAAACTTGGACCGGTTTTCCAGGAGCACTTTGTTGTCGGTCTTCACTGCTTGCTGAAACATGTAGTCGCAGAACTGCTCCCTCACAAATCCTGGGCTGGCCACCAGGATGCACTTCACAACATCAAAGTTTATGTGGCGCTGGATAGCCTGGACCACCTGTTCATAGAACCGCTCCAAAGCCCGGTCATGTTGAGAACAGTTGCCTTTCCGTTTTCTAGGGATGTTCACCTCCACCTTGGCCCGAGTGAGGGTCATGCTGGGAGTGACTAAGCAGATATGGGCGAGGCCTTCCTGCATCACCACAGCCGCCACATCTGCACTCCAGGCTGGGTCACAGGCCTGCTCGATGCGCTCCAGAACCACACTGTCCCACTGTTTCTTGGCCAAAGTGAACTGGCGATTGGGCTCCAGCTCAATGGTGTGGTAAGCCCCCATCTTGACATACTCATTCTCTTGGATGTTGGTCCCCTTAACCCGCAGCTGGCAGGCTTGAGAGTCAAAATCGATGGCCTCCACGCAGAGCGTGAGAGTAGTGCGGACTCGGTTGCTTCCTACGCTGCCCGTGGAGGACTCGGTCTGTACCTTGCGGATGGTGGAGGCACGCAAGCTGTCGCCCACCTGCACTAGATTGTAGGTGTGCCACATATCCTCAGGTTCTTCGGGGACTAGAGTCACCTGGCCCGCATTGTCTTTCTCAATGTCCTTTCTCACGAGCTTCATGACCTCGGCGGGGGTTCGCAGGGAGAACAAGAGGAAACGAAAAGATCCCCAGTGGGAAAGGGACAGGGAGGGGAAAGGGAGTCTAGGCCGGGAAGGGGGCGGGGTCCGGTCCCTATGGGCACTTGCCTGGCAGGAAGGAAATACTCTAGCTCCGACTCAAGCAGCCAAGGGGAACACTTACTCTAACCCTTCTTTTCTTAGTCTCCCGGCACACCACGCCAGACCCCTGGGAGGGACAATGCAGCAAACACAATCTTCTCCGACGTACCAGCCGCCAGCACAAACCCAGCGGCTGATGGAATGAGGGCGCATGCGCAGCCCGCGTCCCGCCTCTCGGCGCACGTTTTACGTCCCCAAGGAGGAGGCGGGGTTGTAGTTTGCGCGGGCGCAGGCGCGCTAAGCGCGAGGTGTGTCCGGAGTAAACCGAGAGGGAAGGGCTGGTAATCTTTGGTGGCGAGTCATTTATTTTAATGCTGAACTTGGACTTCCTAAGTTTTCTCTTCCAAACCTGTTTGTGCAGAATCTGGGGAGTATATGTGAGTGCAATTATTTTTCCAACTGCGTGACGTTGCCACTGTACACCTCTACCCCGGGTAAAACCAATTTTAAAAAACTTAACCAAAAGTAAAAGGAATTCTCAAAAGTGCAGACTTGGCCCCAAAGTTCTAAATTCAGCTTGCTTTATTCAGCACTCAAACACTGCACGCCTGTTGGAGTTTGGTATTTCCAGAAACGGTTTCAAAGAACTACTGGTCACGGTTGGTCTGGGCTCAGAGCAACGTGCCCAGCTGTTTTCTGCGCTTAGTTACCGTGTCTGCACGATCTGACTACCCAGATGTTAAAGCACTGACCCCAGAGAGAGAAGAAACTATCTGTGGAATTCACCCCTGGGTGGACCTCTCAGTTGTTTGCCCTGATGTCCTGGAAATCCCAGAATCCGAAATTGGCAGCCTCCGCTTTACGCAGCTCTGTAGCCTGTGAAATGTTAAGGTTGGGGGTTGGGTCGCAAAAATTTAGAGCGGGATCTTCATTGCCTAAGTTGAGCTGAGGATATTGGAAGTGGAGAAAATCTGATTTACTAGGACCAACCCGACTGGATGGCTACAAAATTGATTTTAAAGAAAATCCTTAAGTCACTTAGCATTTTTATGGTGGTCGGGGGTTGAGAAGTGAGGATTGCCTCTTACAATTAGTGAATATAAAAAGCCCACCAGAGTTTCCCTGAGAGTTAAGATGAGATGGAGAGGGGTGCCTGGGTGGCTCAGTGGGTTAAGCATCTGACTTCAACTCAGGTCATAATCTCTAGCGTCCTGGGATTGAGCTCCAACAGGCTCCACGCTCTGCGTCTACCGCTCCCTTTTCCCCTCCCCCTCCGCTCATGCTCATGAGCTCGATCTCTTGCTCTCTCAAATAAAATCTTAAAAAAAAAAAAAGAACAGAGGAGGTGAACAGAGTAGTCCTACCCACATATCGTCTCATTCTCTTTCTTATCTTGTATATGGCACTGAAAGGGAATCTTACCACCCGGAACTGGTGAGACCAGGATGAAAGGGAGGAATCTGATTGTGGCACAAGTCTTGATACTGATGCCTCAATTATCTTCCTCAGAGATTCTCAGGGGACACAAAAATCCCTTCCAAAGCTCTAGTGCAAATTAGAGGCATTGTTTTGTGGTTTCTCGCCCTCCTTTTCCTCTTCCTTCCACACCTTCCTCATAAAGTTTCTAACTCAGCCTGCCTTCTTCCACTTCCAAGAAAACCCAGCAACTTTGAGTAAGGAACTGATTGCATTGAAGTGTGAAGATGGCTTGCCTCTCCAAAGGACATTTCCTAACTGGGAGAGAGAAATACTTTGAGTTGCTCCTTGATCACCTTTCTAAGTAGAATTTACTTCTCTCCAAAGTCTGACAAAGATTAAAATCCACAGAATCACTGTGGCAGGCATACAGTAGGATCTTAGTAAGTGTTAAATTTTTCTTTAAGAGCTATCATTTATTGAATGTTCATCAGGTACTTTCTTATACTCTTCTAATCCTCTTCTGTAAATATTTGTTATCCTCATTTTGTAGATTAAGAAAATGAATTACAGAAAAATAAATGTATTCAAGATCACAAAACCAGCTTTTAAATTCAGACCTGCTAAGGGCGCCTGGGTGGCTCAGTTGGTTAAGCGACTGCCTTCGGCTCAGGTCATGATCCTGGAGTCCGGGGATTGAGTCCCACATCGGGCTCCCTGCTCAGCGGGGAGTCTGCTTCTCCCTCTGACCCTCTTCCCTCTCGTGCTCTCTATCTCTCATTCTCTCTCTCAAATAAATAAAATCTTAAAAAAATAAAATAAAAAATAAAAAAAATAAATTCAGACCTGCTTAACTTGGCACCCTCTCCTCTGTTCAGTGCTGCAGGCTATATTATAGATGCTCGAAATAATCTCTGCAACCACAAATTATGTGCTGTCATCCACTGCCACTTCCCCTTAATTGTCACGTTTACAAATTCAAGACCCAGAGCTTAGGAACCAAGTGAGAGCATCTGAAAGGCACCAGCACCAGTCCCTTCCTTGCTTTTAGTACTTTTAAAAATCTTTATATTCATCCATTCAACATAGTTTTCCTTCTGCCCAGCCTAGGTCATACCATTATAATCCTTGAGAAAAATCTAATATTATACTTTAGAAAAATATGCATATATTTCTACATTTAAAACCTGTGGGAAATCCACACTGACTCTTAATTCTGTGGTTCTTTTAAAAAGTTTATTTAAATTATGGGCCTAACTACTTTGGGCTGTGTTTTTATTTTGTATTTTATTTTATTTTATTTTATTTTATTTTATTTTATTTTATTTTATTTTATTTTATTGTTTAAGATGTTATTTATTTGACAGAGAGAGAGAGAGAGAGAGTACAAGCAGGCAGAGTGGCAGGCAGGGGGAGGCAGAGGGAGCAGAGGGAGGCAGAGGGAGAGAGAGAAACAAACTCTGCTGAGCAGAGAGCCCCATGTGGGGCTCGATCCCAGGACCCTGGGATCATGACCTGAGCTGAAGGCAGATGCTTAACCAACTGAGCCACCCAGGCCCCCCATTGGCTGTCTTTTTAAACATAGATGTGCTTCGGTGATTGAACATACTACAAAATTTTTCATAGAATTACTATTTGATCTGAAATGGAACTATTTTTTAGAAACTGGAGCTTACTGTTAAATGATCTGATGTTTCTCCCAGATTTTGTGTGATAACTTAATATTTCCAGACTAACTGCATTTCTATTTTGAGTTATTTAGAGTTCTCATTCCCTACTAATTAAAATCCAATTCCCTAGCATTCAAGGCCTTCATGATTTGGCCTTACAGCTTTATTTTCCACTTGCCACCCTCCAGCACCCTATATTCTACAGGAATAATCTTTGATCCCCATACATCCTGGGAACTGTCTACTTGCTGCCCTTAACTCATGCCATTCTCTTTCTTTAAAATGTCACTGCCTCTCACTCCTGTCTCCATAAATCCTACTTCTTTTTAAGCACCTGCTTAAATGTTATTTCACATTTGAAACCATTCATTATATTAATTGGAATACTTGTCTTTTCTTTCTTATTGAACTCTGAGTGGATTCATCCTTTTATTTCCCCACTGACCCTTGAAAAGTCCCTTGCACATAGTAGGCACTTATATATTGACGATAAGCTGAGTGGATCAGATGTAAAGTGTGGCAGCTATCTTAAGGCATGATATCGTTACCAGTTAGAGTTCACTTAGTAATGGTTCCTCTTATTGTAAAACTGCTGTAGTTACAGCAGTTATGTAATAGATAGCAGTATATGACATTTTCATTCTTTACCAAAATACACAAAATCATGAGAAAAAACATGATTTAGCTTTGTTACTTTAAATTATAATTTTATATTTACTTACTGGCTTTTTCAAAATAGAAACCTTTATATCAGTAACTTTATATATATTTTTTCTATTTTATTTATATTAATCTCTCTAGAATTAAAAGTTTTCAATTTGTTGTTTTTGATATAATTCCAGTCTCAAAAAAGAGAACTGGGCTAGAAGTCAAATGTCTTGGATTGTAATTTTTACCCTGTCAATTGTTTTTACTCTAACTGTTGGCAGCCCTTAGTCTCTTAGAAACTCCATTTCTTTTACTTAAGAATTGAGGGCATTGAACTCAATAATTAAAATTGTCTTAATTATAAAGATTATGCTGCAAAAATCTTTAAAAAAAGAAAAACACTACTCATAATCTCACCCTATCATATTTATTTTCAATTTTGCATAGTACCTTTTGAATTTTATTCTTCCTAAAGTCCATTGCAGTGGTAAAAGATCAATACCAAGTTTAATACTTGCATAGCAAGAGTCAGCAGACATGAGTCATGATCTTTCTAGCTAGATTATAGCAACTTTAGATAAGTCCCCTAACATCTACAAACCTGAACTTTTCATTGTAAATTGTAAATCGGATTACTTGTCCTGCCTCTCTCATTTGATAATGCTTATAAGGTTCTATTGAGATTATGATACTTTGTAAACTGTAGAGTTCTACAAACACGTGAGATAATGTGGCATATCTCTAAGAATGCCTGACCTGAAGCTAGAAATCTGGATCAGACAAAGCAAGGGGCAAGACAAGATCATAATTATTCAGCCTTAGAAAAATAACTTGTTCAGTAAAGTTGACTGATGGATAATCTTTTGGGTACCATTAATTTATATTAGTATCTCTTCTCCAGGGAAACCTTAGGTCAGCCCTAGTGCATGAGTTCATGTACCTCATTGGTGAATTGGATTACAATTCTTCTTCCTATTATAATGGTATGTTAGAAATGGTTTGTATGACAGCATCAGGGATTCTGAGCTCCTGAAGAATGGAAATCTTGTTTGAATACCCTGGGCTTAGCATGGTAAGGCTGTATAGATGTTCCTGTTTCTAGTATTTTTTTTTTTTTGCAAGACTTAACTTTCCTGCAACACATAGTTATCTTTTCCTTCCTTTGCTTAGAGCACCTTAGAGGCTCCTCCCATCATTGCTTCTTTGCTTGTCTATTGCCTTTTTCAGACTGTGAGCCTACCTTTTATTTGTCTGTGTTCATGAAACCCAGCACAGCAATTGTCATATAAACTTAGTCATTATATGAAAGGATGCATAACTGTTAGTTCTCCTTTAATGCAGAATTTTTTAACTTGTCTATCACTGGCATCTTAAAATTAGGAAAACATTCTGTTTTATAATGTTACTAAAATTTTAAAGAGAAGATTACTCTTAAGGTAAGTTTCTAAAAACTTATTTCAATTTTTCAGATAGCCGTGCTTAGATAAGAAAATGATTATTTTAAACACATCTTACTGATGAAAAGATCTTAAAATGTTGCAAATAATGTATAATGACAATTTTATTATGCCTGTTTAGAAAATGCTCTTTGCAGAATAAGCCAGAGCTCTGATTATGAATATCTAATAATAAATGCAAATCAGTTATGTGAAGAGAATGTGCTAACCTCAGGTTGTTCAAAGATGCCCATGTGCCCTCCACAAGCAAAGCTAAGTGGACAGCTGGGAGAAGTATTCAGCTAATTCAGGCAAAAGGAGAAAAGGAAAAGTTTTTGTTTTTTTACAGAGATCTACTGTTTGGATAAAACAATATTAATGTTTTTGCACATAAAGTGAATTCTTAATACCAACCAGTGCATATATTTTAATCTCCTTTTAAGACTTAGTTGACTTTTTAATTTTCCTTGAAGACTTTAGATAAAAATTAGGTCCCTTCATATGTGTATAGCCCTAGCACTAGTCACCATTTATGACAGAAATTTAGGGTTTGCCAAAACTAGTCATTGATCCTGTGCAACTAGAACATTTTTGATTACTTTATTGTCACATTTCTCCTGAGGCAGAATATTCAGACGAAGCTCATTCTTGGGATTTGGTGAGGCTGCTGATGACAGAGGAGCAATTATCCCCTGCATCATATAGAAAAAAACTAAGGAGAGGGACAAGGTTCATATCGTTGTATCCATAAAGAATGCCATTTATATTCAGGAGTATGTTTGAAATTTTATGATGCAGTTTTTAAAAATACAAAGAAATGTGATAGAAAATTACTGTAGATTTACTGTATGTTTGTAATTTTCAGATGTACATTTTCCCACCTTTCAACATCTCTAACAGTCTAATAATTATAATTGGATTGGCAGCACTTTTTTTCTTTGTAGTGAATAAAATAATGATGCATTATTCAATTGATGGTATCTTTCATTCAATCAGATATAAATATGGGGGTGTGTGTATATATATGTGTATATACATATATATATATATTCCAGGTGAGGATACAGTTAGAAGAGACAATCTGATCTCTTAAGTATTTATGAGTTTGTCTTTTGTCTATCTTTTGAGATTCATTCAATAACAAATTTTCAAGTGCCTATTATTCTTAGATGCTAAGGATAATAAACTCTACCCTCACAGAGCATATAGCAAGCTGGGAAGACAGACAGATATTTAATTAACCATATCATGTGGTATAGTATAGAAACAAAGATGCTAGAGGCTTACATGTTTCTGGGGAAGGAGGACCAATGGGTTTCTTGGAAATGACGTTCATGTGGGGACTTGAGGGTAAGCAAGCAGTGCGAGCAACTGCTTATGCAAAGGCCTGGAGACCTCAGAGGAGCTGGCACAACAGAAGAGCTAACAGAAACTCAGTAATCTTGACAGGAATATATTCAGCTCATTTACATCTCTTGCTACTCTTCTGTACTTGCTTTGAGAGTGAATACAATTCTCCAGTCACGGACCACTCTGGATAGGCAACGTATTTTGATTTTAGCATTGTGGCAACAATTCCAAATATCTTTCATCTCAATTTTTAACATGAATTCAAATACATTAGTTTGTGTTTCATACAACAGAAGGATTGTGTAGGTAAAGAATAGCACTTTGATCCCTAATTTTCTGAATATGTTTTAAACACGAGCTAGCTACTTTACAAAATATTTTAAGGGGCATATGAAAATCCAGCAAGTTCTAAACCTAATGGGAAGTTTCTTGGGTTGGAGGTGGAAGAACATAGGCAGAGGAGCATCCATCTAAGGAAGTAAAATCGACAGTTATAAGCTGTGGCCCAAGAGTTTATGCATCAAAACAGCATCACAACAGCAGGGACGAAAAATAGGCAAACTAGTTAAACATATATATTTCATCGCTACTCTCAATGCCTATTTATTAAATAAACATCCTATGAATTTATTGCTACCTTTACAGACATCATAATGACTAAAGAGTTTCACCATCTTCAATAATTCCCGACAGTCCATTGTGTGCCACTGGAGGTCATTTCTCTGTTATGGGTAAGTATCTGATTCCCATATTCAGCCATCACCTCACCGGACTTCATTTTGAATAGAAAATCTTAACTGAAAAAAGTCACAAAGGAAGACTCCTTGCTCTTAGGCTAACTAAAATGTTTCTAGTGAGGAGAGACATATAACTCAAATAGGGGTCATTTTCTATATTCTTAATATCCAGGGATAGTCTTATTTGAGTTATAATTAATACAGGGTGGGACATCATCTAATTTCATGATATACCTAAAAGTCATGAAAATATCAGATATACATCATTGATTCGGTCCTTTTCAAAGTCTTTTAGACAGTTATGCTTGGCTTTAACATTCAGAGGGTTGAGCAAGAAGGAAATGGATTGCATTTTGATAGTCTATATGGCATATTATTTCACAGCATGAGATTTGAGATCAGAGAGAAAGCTGAGCACAGGCTTTGCCATTTACTAGTCATGGGACTTTGGACAGATTAATCTCTTAGCATTTTGGTTTCTTCATCTCTAATATATGGATAATATTCTAAAATTTTCCTTTTTTTGAGATTAAAGTGAAATAATACATGTAAAGTTTTTGGCACAAGGCCTCACATATATGTTCCCAATAAATATGTGCCTTTCAGCATTGTGTTAGTTTTTCTCTGTTATTGTATGTCCTGACCCTATTCCCCAGGAGGTTTAATTCTGCCATTTGGATTTGGCCAATGAGAGGGTTGGGCAAGACGTTAGAGAGTGGGAGGAAAAGAAGGGGTTATTTATTTCTCCTGCTCCCTCCTGGCTGGGCTTCAGCTGTGGCTCTAGCTGCATTCCTCTTCCTATGCCCCGGCTCCTGTCCAACAGCCCTTCTCCCATAGCTAGAGTTCACAGTCAACCTGACACTGCTACCTCCTCAGGCCTAAGAGTGGTAATGGCTTCTCTTCCCACGGCTGCTTCAGATGCTTTCTTCTCACTATTGTTTGTCCTTAGGTGCTGTGCCATCTTTAGTCAGTTCTTTAAATGCCTCTGTAAACAGTCCTTTATTAAACTTTCTTTAGTTAAATGCTTTATATATGTCACTAGTTTTTTGCTGGGACTTTGACTTACATAAAATAATAATCTTTGTTGACAAGTCATTTTAAAATACTGTTAAAAGCTAATACAAGACAATTCTTAATCCAATGGGAAGTTTATTGGGATGGTGGTTTGTTGTCATGCTATAAACCCAGCTTTGAAGGCTAGAGAGGGTTCCTTTAGATGGCAGCTTTGAAGGCTGGAGAGAGTTTGTTTAGATGGCAGGGGGAGGTGGGAAGGAAGGGTGGAGTTCTTTTCTAGATATATAAAACAACAAGATCATAGCCACAGTAGCAAAATGAGCATGAGGATTATGTAGAAAGTAAGGAAATGTGACTGGCTTTCATGGGAAGTTTACATTTCAGGGTTTTGGTAGGCATGATAATGGTGTCCCAAAGACCTTCATGTCCTAATCCCTAGAACCTGTGAATGTTACCTTATATGGCAAAAGGGACTCAGTACATGTGATTAAATTAAGGATCTCAAGATGAGGAGATTATCCTGGATTATCCAAGTGGGTCCATTGTAATTAGAAGGATCCTTATTAAAAAGAGGCAATAGGGTCAGAGTCAGAGAAGGAAATGGACAATGAAGGAGAGTCAGAGGAAAGATGTGAAAATGCTATTCTGCTGGCTTTGAAGATGGAGGGTGGAGCCACAAGCTAAGGAATGCAGGTGGCCTCTAGAAGCTAGAAAAGGCAAGGAACTGGATTCTCCCTGATACAGCCTTCAGAAGACACACAGCTCTGCCCACACCTTGATTTTAGCCAGTGATACTTCTAACTCACAGAACTGTAACATACTTGTCTTCTTTTAAGCCAATAAATCTATAGGAGTTTGATACAACAGAAATAGGAAACTGATACGTATAGTAGGAGAGAGAGGGTGCTGGATTAGGGCAAACCCCGCGCGGTCAGTAGAGAATTCTGGATTTCATCTGAAGACAATAAAGAACCACGAAAGTGTTTTTGTTTGTTTTACTAAAAAGACTAAGATATAATGAAAATTACTTATTAAGAAGATAGATTAGAGGTTGGGTACAGATTTGCAACAAAAAGAGTTCTCTACAGTAGTGTGCATGGGCAGGTATGATGATGAGACCACAGGTTGGGTGTGGATTCTATGAATTGAGAAGTTTCCAGGAAAGCTGACAGTATGATGACTAGAAAAGCAGCAAAGGAGAGGAAGAAGTCAAATTTCAGATCCTTGTGTTGTGAAATGGGCATAAATATAGCATAAATGAAGAACATATTGATTCTGATGTAATAAATTTTAAATTTTAGTATGATTGAGTAATACACACACATACACACACAAAAGGAAATTAAATATTATAATTTAGAAATATCTATGCATTATTCTTTAAGTCCCTTTCTGCATTTAGCAAGGCATATTATCCCAACAATTGGCAAAAAACCCACAGTATGCAACTGTGACTGTTTTAGGCATGAGTAAATAGTTAAACCTAAAAAATCTTCAATTATATATATATATATAATTATATATATATACATATATTTCATATATACATATGTGAAATTGTAACTTGTTGACCTCTATTTTTTTAAGTTTCATTCTTGTCTTTTTAGAGGATGTGCAAACTACATTTGATTGTTTCTGCACTAGTGATGCTTATTTGGTAAAATGAAAAAGGTACAACTTGAGTAGTTAGAAAACTTCAGATTTTGTACAATGACAACAAAATGCAAACGACCTCCAAAAAGTTTGAGCTGAAGAGGCATCATAGGTCAAATAAGTGCAAAGGGCAGTGACAGTAGCTAGTAAGTTAAACCATTCACGGGCTGTAAAGCTGTTCAGAAGTTACTACTGTTTGGATTACTGGACACTTCCTGAGTAGTGGAAAATATCTGGATGAAAAGTGAATAGCTCATAATTAACTCTCTTAATACCACCTTCACCATGGAAAAATGTTTTGCTTGCGAATAATCCATTTCTCAGTGATCTTCATTAAGACTTAATGCTTGGGCATCTAAATCAGAGTAAACGGGCCTGATCACCCCTGTTTTTAATGGAAAAATGTTAAATTAACTAATACCAATAAGCATGCCAGCAGTAAAGACACTGAACACTGAATACTGATGATATGCTAAACCCAACCATTAACCTAACCATTAATCAGGTCACTTTCTTTCACACAAAGCTTCACCAATCTGCCTTTTTCTTTCACCATTACAACTATACCCCCTCAGTATATGGTAAAATCTGACCATGGGTTAGTCATTTGGAAAATCTTAGAAAATGCTATGATTCAACCTTTTTCTAAATTGGATATAACTTTGCATTTCCAGTGTTTTTTTTTAAAGTCCCTCCTTAAAAATACCTTTTATACACAAGTAACGATACTATATTTTGCATTTAAAAAAATAGTCTGCTCTGAGACTATCCCTTTCTCAATTTCAAAGTGTTCCTCCTCCTTATACAGAAACATCATTTCAGGACAAGAAACAATTTTGCCTCGCTTTCCTTTCTTTCCTCCTTCTGTAGTGGAAAAGATCTTGAATACCTGACAGCAAGAAAATGCAATAATGCCCACTCTTGAGTAACCGGAAGGTAGGAACTTTGCATATAAATCTGGTGCCCTCTAGTTTCCTTCCTCCAAAAAAATAAAAAAAATAAAAAAATAATAAAAATAAATAAATAAAGGCGGGGGAATGACATTCAGCAAAGTCCTAAAATACAATGTAAACTGTCAAAACAACTTTAATTGTAAAGTCATTTCTACCTTGTAAAGTTTTCAGCACTGTCTCCCTCCTACCATTGCGGGGGAAGGTTTTGAAACACATCAAAACTAGTATCAAAAACAAAACGCAGACACTCCTTTCTATACTCGGACCTGCCCAGATTACCTGGAGCGTCCCAAAGTGAACCAGCTCTCCCTCCACCTCTCTGGGCCAGAGCTCTCTGTATCTCCCTACCCACAAGTAGCCCGGAGCCCCGCACGCAGATGCTCAGGAAAAAAACAAGGTCGCTCACCGGTGAGGAGCCAGCAGCAGGCGACAGCGACCCCTGGGCTGGCCTGGCGTCGGGGGGCCATGGCCGGGGAGCCCGCAGAGCCCGGGGGACGCGCTGGATGGGAGGGCAAGACGCAGCAGGACTGGGCACGGGAGCCGCGCGCTCTGGGCCACTCTGCCGACGCAGGTCTCAGTCTCCGGCCCCGGTCAGTCGCGGCGCCGAGAAGCCGAAGAGTGAATTTCCTGTGTTTTCGACGAATGCCTCTAGGTCCTCTCCACGCTTTTCATATCCCAGACTTACTGCCCCATCGCCCGCCCCTTCGCGCGCTCGGTCTCTGAAATCCCACTGGCAGCCTCCCAGGCTCTGTCCGAGACATGGACAAATAAAGCCAGCTTCGCGGGTTCGTGTTTAGGCTAAAGTCCACGGGCTGCAAAGCAAACCTTAAAGGGACATCTGCCTTTCATTGAGAGGGTGATCCCGCTCTTCGTGCCAGCTCCCTAAGGTGGTAGGAAGGCGGGCGAGGGCTGGACCTTCGGGAGGGTGTCGCCAGCCCAGTGGCCCCGCCTTCACACCCCTTACCTCTCCCTGGGTCGGGGCAGGGAGGGCACTTTCAAAGTGCCGGGGCTCCTTGGCCCTTAAGGGGAGGCTGCTTTCCTGGGGTCAAATTGCGCAGAAGGAATTAGACTGTCTCTGAAAGTGAGCACCACCTCCCTCTCCTGCGGACACTTGAACTTCGCTGTGCTGTAGTCTGGCACTGAGAGAGAGAGAGAAGAGGGGGCGTCCACTCAGACACGCCCCCACAGAGGGTTTTGCTTTCGCTTATGAAGAGTTTACTTCATTTATGGTGACTTGTGGTTGAACGGTGGTTGCCCCTGAAGTTTTCTTTGGGGAGACTGTAAGTGGGAGAAAAGAAGAAAAACAAGAGGGGGAGAAAAGAAAAAAAAAGAAAGGAAGAATGATAAATGCAAGAGGGAAGAGGGAGGTTAATGAAGGGAGGAAAACAGTCTCCTTAGAAATGATTATGTGTGGGGACTATTTTGTTTAAGTTGAATTAAGATGTTTGTACACTGGGAATTGAATCTAATAAAGAACTCAGGGCACTGTTTTATTTCTTCTTGTTATAAACTTTTATAAGTAAGAGTGCATTAAATGATGTTCATGTTACTCCTTCCTCTCCCACTCCCACTCTCTAGGGAACTGAAGATTGGGAAGTTAAGTTGATAGGTCACAATGTTGGAGACTGTTACCCCACCCGGGGAGACCCAGGCCAGAAAAGGCGCTTAAGAATTTGCAGTGCTTCCCTTCCTTGTTGAATGAGTTGTACAACGTCCCTGAGTCAAGAGCCACATTGACATGTTAGCTTCACGTGCTGTTTTTTGTTTAAAGCAGCTGTGTCTTAATGGTTTTGAGAACTTCAAAGAAAGAGGAGTGGATGAGTGGATTTGTGTTTACAGGTGGTGGAGGAAATCAAATCTATTCAATTCAGTTCAATTCAAAAGCAACAACTAATTATCTCTATCTAGCAGGACTAGGGCTAGGCAGGACAAGACTGCCACCCAAAGGAGGACTCTGCCTAGAACACAATACAGGTGACATAGTATAGGTAACCCAAGAGAAGGGAAGGGAGAAGCCCACAGGGATGATTGAATAGATTGCCACCAAATAGAAGATTGCAGGAACTAAAGTTTGAAAAGATAAAAGGTAAAGAAATGTAATGAAGATCAAAAATAGGGTGGGCAGCCCTGAGAGGTCCAAGGCCATCAAATCTCAGGAACATGACCCAACAGAGCTAAGGAATTCCTCTTCAAATTTATGTATGAAATGATTAACTACCTAATAAATATATTTAAAACACTTTTTCCCGTTTCCAGCTTTCATATTTTCATTTCTTAGTCTTATTTTCAAAATTGCACAAATAAATTTCTAGAAAAATATCATGTTGGATCACAGTTCAAACCCATCAGACATTACTTATGCTCCTATGCCTGCATTCAGTGGTCTCATATCCCAGTTTCGCTTTCCAACCCATCTTAATTAACCTGCATTATCACCCTGCCTCCTGCTGTTCCTTTCCTGGGAAAGCCTTAATGAGTATATCTGTACATTTCATCTCCCTGTCTATAGTCTCAGTTATGTCTTATATCTCTCAGTATGGCCCATGGGGCTTTGAACAATAATCAAATACTGATAAACTGATTAATGCTTAGACATTTAAAAATCATGATAAATACCTTCTTCAAAATATCTCTTCAAATTGCTCACTGTTTTCATAAACATATAATAGTGTGTGTATATATGTAAACCTACGTGTATATATATGTGTACATACATATATACATATGCATATATGGGGTTCTAGAAAATTACAGTATTATTGAATTAGAAAGAAATGAAAAGAGAAATTATAAAATTATATCTATATACTGCCTCTCTCTGAAGATTATTGTGAGGATTAAATGAGACAAACCAATGAAGCATTTAGCAAAATGCCTGGATTAAAGTAAACAGAAGTGAATTATTCTTCTTCCCAGTTGTAGGAGAATTAGAATTAGACAGTGGGAATATAGGGCAGGGTCTGTGTGTGGTGGGCCATAGGAAGTGATGCCATTTGATGGGCATCAAAAGAGAATGTTAGTGTTTGGCCAAAATCATCTCTATCAACTCTTGTTATTATTTCTGGAATCCTTACCTGGAATCCTTACTTTTTGTATTAGGGAATTATCTTGAAAATATCCCAATAAAATGGGTATACATTAAGACATCAGAACCCATTACGACATTAACAAGGACTTACTTGTCAAATTAGCTAGATGTCAAGGGGATTTTTTTTTTTTTTAACAAGAAAAGGACATTTCACTAAGGGGTTGGGAATAGGAGAGGGTCTAGAGTTCTGCTACTGGTTAAGGCCAAGGTTCTTTGGTAGTTAGATCATGGGTTCTCAAAGCCACAGGATAAATGAGGCACTCCAACCTGGGTAGAAGGGTGGTATCAGTTTTATTCAATAGTAAATAAATACTTTTTAATTTTTTTATGTTAGAGTAACAGATTTTTATAAGAAAAATGTAAAATGATGTTTTAAAAAAGTTAAATATAAGGTTTAAAATACATTTTAGTATAGCATCAAATTGTGCTTTCTTCCCCCCTCCTCAACTCTGAGGTGTTATGGGTAGGTAGTATTGTCTAGAGCTGCTTCTATTAAGATCTCATAAAGATTCAGATTTTTAAATTTTACTATGCATATATTCAGTTAGTTGCTCTCCAAGACACTGATGCTAACTCATAGAGCTAACTCATATGGTCAACTTAGTTCAGTTGAATAATTTTATTTATTTATTTATTTATTTATTTATTATTTTTATTTATTTATTTTAAAGATTTTATTGATTTGAGAGAGAGTGAGAGAGTGTGGGTGGCGGGAGGGGCAGAAGAAGAGGGAGAACCTCAAGCAGACTCCCTGCTGAGCATGGAGCCGGACATGGGCCTCCACCTCATGACCCTGAGATCATGACCTGAGCCAAAATCAAGAGTCGGAGGCTTAACCAACTGAGCCACCCAAACGCCAGATTTGAATAATTTTTAAGTTCCTGCTGTGTACTGGACTCCAGGGCTATGTTCTGCAGAGGCAAAAATGGGTAGAACACTTGTTTTTCTACTGAAAATCTGCTGTCCATTAATTTTTTTCACTTGGAACTAGGGACAGAAAACAAGCAGTTTTGTTCTCAATTATAACATTGACATGTTTCATTTTAAGCCTGTAAATTAAGCAGTCTAGTGGAATTACCATATTAGTGTTGTTACTTCAACTTGAGAACCCATGATTGCTTCTTCTATGACCAAAACAAAGTCACAATGATGTAGAGCTTAAACTTCACCACCAACTAAACTTTTTTTTTTGTTATTGCATAATGTTCTTGTGTGAATGTTGTTTCACTTAAAATATAAAATAGGTGTTCCTCCCACCCTATTTCCTGAACAAGTCTATGCCAGAAACTTGGTCCAAAGACATTTGGGCAACTGGTACTTAGGAAAAAAATTTGAATTTAGAATCCTGGTGAAGGACAGTTCTAAACACTGTGAAAAACTCCTAAAACTTATTAGCAGACTTCAACATGAGTGACACACTAGGGCTGTACTGGGGGAGGGAGTACCAGGGTGGTGCCCTGGCAAGAATATTTAAGTCGTGGCACACTTGAATCACAATAACCATCACTGATGAGCAGTAACATTTTTGCTGCAATGCTGGATTCCTTAATTTGCAATGTGAGTTAATTATTTTTTAAGCTATTAGGTAATTCTGGGACTATTTGAGCAGGTTGATTTAATTAATTTATTTTCCTTTCACCAGTTTATAAAGAGTTAAAGCAGGTAGGTGGGCTCTAAAATTTCAGGACTGAAACAAATAAATTGTTAGTAATTAAACCAAGAAGACTGATATTTCTTGTAATAGGACTGGGTCACTATATATGTGGGGGAAATAGTCTTCTAGTTAATAAAAAATAAATACATCAAGAAAAAGGGAGTCTATTATTTGGCTCTGAAATAATAACGCTTAAATCGCTTGTTTTACAAATTATGTGGCTATTTTTCATCTGCTCTACTAGACCATAATCTATACCAAGACAGTCAATTATTCATTTTTATTGCCTGCAGCATCTGCCCCTTTGTAATTCATTCACTCAAACATTCAAACATTTATGGTGTTACCTCTGTGCTGCAGGAAGTCTTCTGGCCCCCAGGATTCAGAGATGTTGAAATGCTTGGCACTATTCTCAAGAACATTCACAAGATACCTAGAGATATGCACAGAATGATCTTCCTAATTGTGTCTGATGAGCCCTAGAACAGAGCATAAAGTCAACCGGAAGAAAAAGACGGTTTCATATAGATGATGGCACTGAAATGTGGTCTTGCAGGAAATGGGGAGACGGTTTCACAGGGGGAGGAAAAGGATAATGGGCATTCTAGGCAAAGAGAGCATGAAATGGATGAATAGAATGGAATAAAAGTTAGGAAAGGCAAGTGAACTTCTGACCAGATTTGAAAGGATCTTAAAAGGATGCCAAGGAATTTGGACTTCTCATAAGAATGTAGTATTTTT